GGGATTCGAACCCTGGGGTTCCACACCAATGACAGAGACATTGCCTCTGGGCCAAAGCGCCACTGCCACAAATCCAAATATTTCAAATTATACCAGACCTTCTTGTTAAATACATGGTCCTACTTCTGGTGGTTTTCGAGGAGACCTGAGTCTGAATGGTCACGTCACATTTCACCTGACCTTTACGTCAACACGGACAACTCTATTTAGCCCGTGGACCAACCACAGGTGCAGACACCAAATTTGTACGCTAAATGCTGGCCTTCCTTCACCCGCAATTTGAATGAAAACCTGAACAACTGTGTGTTAAGGCTTGCAGTGCGATTGTAGTTAGAGCGCAGTGACAGTTCAGCTGCAGCATGAATAGCTGTACCTGATGGTAACTATCTGCCCTACATCCAGAGCATAGTCATTGAGCTGGGCAATAAAGATGGCAGCCACGGCTTCATAAAGAGCCGTGCCGTCCATGTTGATGGTGGCGCCCACGGGGAGCACGAAGCGAGTGATCCTCTTGTCAATGTGGTTGTTCTCCTCGGCGCATCGGAAGGTAACGGGTAGAGTTGCGGAGCTGCAACGGAAATTTGTCAGATTCAGTGACTTTATTGCTTGAAAAAAAAAAAAAGACAGAATTATTTGAAGACAAGTAGGGTTTGGAGGACTCTGACCTGGAGGCGATCATGAGTGCCGTCACCAGAGCCTGAGCCATTCCTAGAGTGAACGTCAAGGGATTCTTCCTCACAATGATGAAGTAAAGGAGTGGCAGACACACGATGGCGTGGATTGCGAGGCTGTGGGGACGCGGAGCACACAACAATGCATTCTCTCAATTTCTACACCCTTTGCTCCGACTAATTATTTTAAATAATAAAAATTGCGTTATCCTGTCGACATTGAATGGTCGGTGCTATTTGCCGATGATGAAGACTTAACAGGAGACCAAAAACTAGAGATGGCTCGATAGAACTTTTTCATTTCCGATAGCCTAGCCATACTACAACTTGGAATATCTGATAACGATACCAATCCAATTCCTTCTTTTCTCCCCTAGCATGGCGCAGGCTGCTGTTGCTGAGGCAATAGCGTTAGCGATAGTTGAGCATTTGGGCTTAGGTATTGGATCGAACAGGCTAAAGTTGGTGTTTTAAGGTTGATATTTTGGGTTGATAGGTTGATATATATCAGTATAGGAACGAGCCATCGCAACTAAAATCAGTGGTGTACGGGTTATACTTAAACCCTGGTTGAACATTGGTCGTTGGGTTACCATGCTTTTACAATACAGTTGAATGGTCAAATATGTCAGTGAACTAGTTTGGGAACACTAAATAAATGCGCATATCATGGTTTTTTTTTTTTTTTTGTCTCTGCTATTTAAGAACAATCGTAACAGAGCGTTCGGGACGGAAAATGCTCTGAAGACATTTTTGCTTTCAATAATTTCCCTCCAGGCTTGGAGTGTAGCAATGAAGTGTCATAGACATGTCATAACAGAGAATCTGGGACCGACCCTGTGACCTGGCACAAGAGGGGTTTTAGTGCAATCTCAAACAGTGTCACTTAGATTTAGAGGCACGAGCGATGCTTTCATTACTGTATCTGCAGGCTGAGCAGTTTTAAATGCCCTTGTCCCTTATCAGTGCCCAAGCAGAGCTCATCTTTTACTGGGTAACTGGGGGAGAACTGGCCCAAATGTCAGCCATAAATCCCAGTGTGAAACAGTGAAACATGCGGCTACAGAGTACTGGACCAACGTACCCACTCAGCACCGTCACCATGTACAGACCCATCTTTCGGAAGATCTCCCAGTCTTCCACCTGGATAATCTTGGCAGCAATGAGGAACATGATCCCGATTGGCATGTAACTAGGACGGAGCACAAGAGGCATCGTAGAAGTTTCATTAGACGGCACAACATTTTATTACAGTTTTTTTTTTTTTTTTCCGTGCAAATAGATACTTAGCTTTGCTCGACTAGAAGCAATGTTTATAAGCTACTTAAAGTATGACTGCAGTTTCTGAGGGTTGACTATCAGCTGTAGTAAAGTGTACAGTAAAATAACAGGGTGCTTGAATAACAACAAGTACAATGTGTTTAGCTACATAGAGTAGCTATATTAGTTCCACTTCATACACCTACTACTAATACTACAGTTAACAAGTACTTTTTTTTGGTCTCTGGTGGTTATTCCCAAACCTTTCCTGCATTTCCTACAGTTGGGGGTAGGGTGGTTAGAAGGGGCTATTGTCAATGTTCAAATGCAGGACATGGCCCTTACATGACATACTACAGTACGTAGTAACCAAAGAAGAGGAAACTTAAGAAAACTTGCAGCTTGGTTAGTTTTTTTTTTTAATCAAAATATGTTTGTGTGAATACCTGTTTTAACAGTTTTGGCACTAGTCCTACGCCTTTTTCAGCACCATGACTGTAAACACGTGTATTCATGCAAACGTATTTGTCTAAAAGTGGAGTGATTAGAGCGTTAAACCAGTGATTTCCAACCAATAAGACTCTTAAAAATCTTTGTTTTTTTTCATTAATTCCTGCAAGTACATCAGCATTGTGTTCCACTAAACAGACTCAGGTTTCAAGTAAATTAAAAAGTGCTGAAACCAAGACCCCTGATGATTGACTGATAACTCCGGGATAGTTTGATACCTTTGTTTGAAAAAAAATAAGAATAATGTGTTTAGCTATGTAGAAAGGACCAATTTCATAACATGATCATTAGTTCCACTTCTGCTGTTGTGTTACATGCGCTTTTTGTTGACGCACAATTGCACCTGTGTTTGTACGTACCACATAATTATATGAACCAGTTTCATGGTTGCGTCATTCAAAGCGTCGAAAAAGTCCAGGAGAATGCGTCCTTTTTCACCCATCTTCCCAATGACGAGGCCAAAAGCCACACAGAAGACGATAAGACCCAACACGTTGATTCCATCTGAGTACGATCCGACAATTTTATAGTCTTTGGTGATGTTCTGTGTGGAGAGGACACAAGGTCAGGATTCATCCAGTGAGCTCTCAAACCAGGCCTGGGTGTAACTTGAACAACATTAGTTTATTCTACAGCCCCTCCTGAACACTGAGCCACTGTGTTCACAGCCCCTACTGGTGACTCTTGTGATGCATTCACAGCACAGGCCACCTGCCAGGTTAAGTAACATAAAACTTAAAGTGGAACTGGTGTAAATGTCGACTACACTACACTCTGTACTGTACATATTCTTGTGATCTCTGATTTAGGTACACCCTCTCTTGTCCTGACAAAAGTAATAGGATACTAAGTATTTACATTGATATACAAACGCTACATTAATTTATAATGTTATTAATAAACATGGCATTAAGAGAAATGTTATCATGAAAATAATTGAAATAGAAATTTAAATTGTTTTTTTATACCGCAAAAACCTGTGATGGGACAATCCGCAATACAAGAATACATTTGTAAAATTAAAAACCCCCGATGCACTGAGGGTGCCACAGCCAAACCGCTATACAGCGAGGGACGACGGGGTCGACCAATCTGCTTTAGCCTATGACTGGTCTCCAAACTTTTCCACCCGAAAGCCCCAAAGTTGCCCCTAAACAGCATTAGCATCTGGCCGGGAACCCCCTTTGCAAACCCACAGACAATGCTACAAAATATGTGAAGAAAACACTTTTAGAATGTATTTTCTTATTTTTTTTCACTATTCCATAAGTATTACATTTGTTTAGCCTAAAAAAAATATTATTGAGCATGTTTTTTCATTTTGTGAGAGCTGTGCTAGCTAGCTACACGCTAGTTTGAGGAACATAGCAGCTTAATAACAAGCACGAACCTCCAGGTATACACAGACTATGGCATTGTCATACCAAAGTCGCAGCTGTCTCAAAAGGTGCATTCAGGTACCGTCAGAAACGTAAGAATTTACATTTACCGCAGGTTACATGTTGTGCAGTTCAGGAAAAATGGTTGTAAAAAAACCTGATTTTATTTTTGGCTTTTTTTTCTTATCTTACCCCAAATTTTCTGAGGCCTCCCTAGTGCCCCCTGTTGGCCCCAAAGGGAGACGCAGCCCCCACTTTGAAAACCACTAGTCTTTGCCATTGTAATAACAGACTGTCTGTCTGTGTTTTACTATTCAGCCTTTTTGACTAGAACCTCGTGTTTGTGTCATCACACAGTGAAGTCCGTTATATCACAAGGTACTTTTTACAACCAAGTATCAGCCCCATATTGAGGATAAAACAACAACAACAACTGTGAGAATAAAGTTGACCAGAATTAAGTCGTACGGAATAAAGGACCGCCTTAAGAAAAAAAATCAGTTCATGAGAATAAAGTCGTGAGGTTAAATGACGTGTTTTTGGGGGAAACCAAAAAAATGCACACAGTGTAAACCAGGGGTGGGCAAACTTTTTGACTCACGGGCCACAAATTTCCTAAAATTAAACGGGGGGCCGGGTCAGGAGCAGATAGATGGAGCATTTGCGTGTACTAAGATAAATGACATGTTAAAGTCATGCATAAAGGCTAAAATGCTAAAACGCTAAAATGCTTTTACCATTTCCTACGCCATCTATTGGGGAAATGTGGGTATTGCAGGAAAACGGCAGAAGTATATAATTTGGAAGAATTTGGCGGGCCAGATTAAAAAGCTGAGCGGGCCGCATCCGGCCCCCGGGCCTTAGTTTGTCCATGCCTGGTGTAAACGATAAGAGAATGAGAAACGTGAAGAATTTTGTAATATAAATGTTAAGCATTGGATTAAAAAAATGAGGAGATGTTTCATCTTCTGCTTTTGCATTGTGGTTTAAATTTTTTTTCTATTAAGTGATGATTGACTTTGAGCACAGTATGGGGGCCGACTGTATCCCACTGATTCTAATAATGCCATACATACAGTACTATACAGTACACACTCACCTCCACTGTTGCCATGATCGTAGTAGTCAGAGGTGGAATGGTCGTAGCATTCACTTCCACTTCTGGAGGATCCAGCTCTTTGCGTTTGGTCTTGTACTGGTGTAATTCATTGCATTTCCACAACATTAGAATTATTTAACATCTGAACATATGTAGTGCATTAAGAAAGTTAAAAAAAAAAATCTCTTACCTGCTGGAAACAAGCCTGCACCAGGTTTTCTGGAAACATGTTTCTGTTTACAGGCATAGAGAAGATTTAAGGGTAAATGTGAGGGAATACGGACACTTTAAAGAGGCATCATTGATGACAAAATTTTAAAAAAAAGTTTTTAAGTGCGCACATTAGTGCTGTACATTAATCGAGAAATAAATACTTTTTCCGAAAAAACAATAAGTAGTCACCCCCCACAACCTCCCTCCCCCGGTCCTACATAGTCTTACTCTAGATCAGTAAGATTGAAAAATAGTGACAAATACTTCCGTCCTGTTCTACAGTTAGCATATAAACAAATGGATAATTATGCAGCAGATAATATCACGCAAGAAAGAAGTCTTGCACAAATACTTCATGTTGGTGGTGTTTTGTCAAATTATATTTCATGAAATATGAATATTTTTTAATATACTTGTACTGATATGCAGGGAAACAAAGTGGGGAAAATCATGGACTTATTGTTATTTATAGGTAATTATTCTATGATTGTACTGGTCCGGCCCACTTGACATCTAAACAGGCTGTATGTGGCCCCTGAACCTAAAGACTTTAACTCTGCCATAGAGAGAAAACTGTATCTGTGCTGGAAGGGAGGAAGAGATGGTCATAATGAATAGGGTTGTGATTAGGCAGTCCAGGCAGAGACCAAAGTTTATTTAAATTGAGACCTAATTCTGAAGGTGGAGGGAGAATTGAGTAACACGTAAACTGGAATGATCAAAGAGGAAAACTTAAGGGAAGCAGACAGAGCTACAAGAGTGGTAGAACATGATTTAGCTTTCCAGTTTACACTAGTTTAATTCAGGTTCTTGAATCCATAGAGTCGATTTCTGTATGTAAGAAAATTGGAAAAAGTGGAAATTGGAAAGGAATTGGGTAAAACGTTCATTGACATTGGAAAAGTTACAGAAAGCGTGGTAGCACATTCATATTGATAAAATGTCATCTGCCTGCCATAGTTATATGCAGGCCGTAGTTCTCGACTGGAAAAAGGTGGTTTGCGTCCTCCAGGTCGGGGGAGAGATCCTGCCTCAGGTGGAGGAGTTTAGGTTTAAGATAGACAGGCGGATCGGTGCAGCGGCCGCAGCAATGAGCTGAAAGGCAATGCTCTCGATTTACCGGTCAATATACGTTCTTAGCCTCACCTGTTGTCATGAACTTTGGGTCATGACCGAAAGAGCAAGACTCCGGATACTAGCGGCCAAAATGAGCTTTTTCCGCATTGGAACTCCCTTAGAGATAGGATGAGGAGCTCTAAGTAAAACCGCTGCGCCTCTCTATCCAGAGGAGCTAGCTGAGGTGGCTTGGACATTTACATCGCATGCACCCTAGATGTCTCCGACATGTCCCACTGAGAGGAGACCCAGAGAAAGTTCTGAATGTAACCATTGTTCTGTGCTCCTTTTAAACTTTTAAAACTTGAGATCTTGTATTTGATTCTTTATTTGATCAGACCTTTATTTGATCGTGATTTGAATTGTTTTGTGTTTTAGGAAACTGGGGTATGAACTAACAGCATTTCTCACAGTCCTATCCAACAGAGAAAGTTTCCTGACACTCAGAGAAGGGCTGAGTTATTGACAGGAAAGAGGTTAAGTTAAATATTCAAAAGCTCTTTAACAACTCAATTTTCTTCGGGATGGTATTTATGGATCTGAGATAAACAATAAGCAGTCATCTGCATATGAGGAAAGTCTATGTTCCAAACTGAATCTTCGAATTTCTTGACTAAAATCTTGGCTGATTTAAGTGATGTTTGCCACGGCAAACAGCAGCAAACTCCAAGGGCACCTTTAGGGGGTACTATGGTATATGTCGGGTATTTTATGACACACAGACTTAGCGATAGATAGTATCGGAATGAGCCATCCCTAGTCAAAGGTGTGTAATTTCCTCTGCAGGAGCTAACAGAGTACACAATGTTTTAATTATGTACAAAAACAAAAATAAGTTTACTGTATGTTCAAAAAGGTTACCTGATGAGGTCCAGGAGTGTATCCACTGTGGTAACATTGGGTGTTGTCCCAGCTCTGCTAATGTGGTCTGCTGTCTGAGACACTCCTGGTTTGATGGTCATCACCAAAATAATTCCTGTAATCGATAACATAGTTGAGTTCTCGGACAGTGACTTACCCTACAGTTCCACCATATCTGATCTGGTCAGATTAGACTACAATCATTACCTCATCAATTGACGTCCTCTGACCACCCCATCACCAGTGTAAACACCGACATTAGCTGTTAGCACTTGCTTAACATGTTTCTACTGTTGCCTCAGAAATTGCCCGTTTTAATGTTATGACTCAGCTGTCATAGCCTGTCATTGTATATAGCAACTAAAACTTTATTGAAATGCACATTGTATACACTGTATCTAACGTTTTACGTTAGTCTTTGCAATCCACATAGGCTGCCACGGGTGGCGCCATTGAGTATGTAGTTCATCTGCGGCATTTGACTTGCCGCAGCAAACATTGCTGACTGTAATAAACAGCAGAAATGTTTGAAAATATCATCAACAACAGAGTGGAACAAAGTATACTTACCAAGTATGACTGCGATGATGGTTGTTGAGAAGTAATAGATAACAGCCCGCAAGCCTATCTTTCCGGATACTTCAGAGTCCAAGGCTGCAACACCTGTATATAGATCATACATACGCACACATCCAATAAAAATTTGTCATTGAAATGTTAAAATATTGAGTGTCCAGACCAGTAATCAGTAAGTCTGAGATGTTGAAAAAGATCTATGTGCGTCTTTCATCAATTCCTGCAAGAATATCGGCATTGTGTTCTACTAAAAAGTCCCAGGTTTCAAGTAAACTGATCAAAGGATATACTTTTTAGGACTTTTTCTGTTTGGTGGAGCACTGTGGGATTTCTTTTTGGTCTAGTCCAAACATGGGCAAACTAAGACCCGGGGCCCAGATTCTCGAAAACTACTTAATCTAAAAGTTCTTAGTTGTTGAAGGTGAGAAATAAACAGTTGGTTCATCCCAGAATGATCTGAGGTCTTTTAAGTTAATGTCCGGTCAAATTTGAACCGTTCCACTCATAAAGTCCTACCTATTCCCAATACAGTACTTAGGTCATGTGTTGTTGCTTTAAAATGCTGTGTGTATCAATATGTAGGGCTTACAAAACTCTACAAAAATCATCTCTTGAACATTACCGTAATTTCCGGACTATAGGTCGCTACGAGTTTTACGGGCTAACGGAGTTCATACTGATAGTGATCAATGACTTTTCTGGTAGGCTAGGTGTGCTCAATACTCCAGAAATTACGTTAATGAGTTCTGGTTATTTATTTGGTTCCAAGACAGATTTGAGAGGACAAGAATCAAAGTACAGTCCTCGGTCTGCTGCTGGGCATAAAGAGGAAGTTGGTCAAAGTGGTGGAAACGCAGCACCTACTGTATCTGACATTCCTCAGCAGTCAACTGAAGTATCACTTATCCTGCTGCCTTCTCACACCACCAACTTGTTTTTTTTTTTCTCTCACTGTTTTTCCTCTGAGAGTCAAACCGACCTCATTACTTTTAACATGTGACATTATGTTGTTTATAACAGCTCATCGCAGGTTATGGCCCTTTTTTTTTTTACTGCTGTTGTGCTAGACATGCATGTGACCGCATGTAGACCTGTAAACTCCTCTGTTTAAAGAACCAGTAATCTTCTGTAACAACTCCAGAAGACCTACCCACGCACTTTGCCACCATAAGTTTTGCCATTTGTTTCCTCACACGTTGGATACCACGTAATTAAAATTAGCAGCTACTGCTTTTTGAAATACAGGGGTTCTTCATCACGACGTCCTCGACCTGCGTCGTTTTGCGGTTACGTCGCCATCTCCCATAAACTTCCCCCATAAACGTCTTGTTCGCGATCATTTCATATGGCGTGGAAACTTGCCAACGAATTCGCATGAGAATTAGCTTGCACTAGACGACTTCGTTACAATCGCCGGTTGAACGCCGTACATGGGATTGTGCTACATACTAAAGTAACATGTGTTGTTACTTTAGTATAGTAGTACTACTACTTTAGTATAGTAATACTACTTTAGTAGTATCTGTACTCTACTGAAGTCTTTCTATTTGATCAGACTGCACTTTGACACTACTGCATCTCAAAATGAGAATTCGTACATTTTACTCCATTACATTAAGTGAAACGTGAAATCGTTCTTTTTTCTCCCAGCGAATCAAAAAATATAAAAGGGTCAAAGCGAATGCACCATAAGCAAGCGATTCCCTGAGAAGTCCCCTGCCCTTATTTGGGCGATTTATAGAAACACATTGAGGTAAACATTGAGGTTTTATTCTGGTAGGTTTGATGACCAGAAATCCTATATTTTTTTTAAAATATAACCTGCATTGAATTAAGTTAAGGGTTGCCATCTGTCCCATTTTGGTTGACGTATTTTGATCATCATGATTTTGTCCCATACAGGTTACGTACATTTTTCGCGCAAAAAATTAGCGTCACATCTATTTCTAGTTTGCTATTTCTAAGCTGCACGTAATACGCCTTCAATCACTTCAATTTTTCACCTTCAATCAGTGACCGAGCAGGAGTTTTATTAAAAGAATAAAAGGCCATTAAGAATCGCAATTCATCGAGGTACTTTTAATAGTCTTATAGTATATATGAAGACAAATACTTTTATGCTTCTACTCAAGCTGAAATTTGTGAGGGAATTCTTTGACTTTTACTGGAGTCAAATTTAATATAAGGAATTTATACTTTTACTCAAGTACTTAAGTAGAGGATTCAGACTTCCGACTGTGTCGCACCGTAGCAGTACTTCTCAAATAATGGGGTGGGCCTCCCTAGGGGGTGCGGTGAGAAGCCGGGGCTTCGAGGGGCTTCCAATGGAATATGGCACGCTGAACATAAGTGTACCACTGCTGTAATGGCAGCAACCCATACAGTGGTTTGTACAGATAATAGAAAATAATTGAGAACCACTGCACTGTAGGAATGAAACTACGACGTAAGTCAAGGACGTATCGTGCAATACGACTACATTCCTGGCTACTGATTGTAAATCATTTTCAAAAGCCTGGATTGAATTGTTACCGTCCTAAGATCAGTGTCTCTTGTCCTTTTATTGCTGTTGCCATTATCAGCACCTTTAGACTGCTCATAAACATACGATGCTAACTGATTTTTACTACATATTAACCAAAACATTCCGCATTGGTGTTTATTTGATGTTGCCACAGTCATAACGCACTGGTAATAATCAACCAAAGATACAGTATGGGTCGGTCACATTGAGCATCGTAAGAAAAGGAAAACAGCTTTAGAAACACTGTTGTTGTTATTATTGTTAACGTTACTGCTAGCTAGGACAACTCGGCAAACACGATATCATAACAGCCTTTTTTTTTAATTTATAAAATGCACAAATTTCACAAGTGGGGAACTATTGCTGGTTTAAGCACATCCATGGAAATTTTATTTCATGTTAATTTTTTTTTGTACCAGATAAATAAAATCTACTCATTATTATTATTATTATTATTATTAATTTTTGTACCTGAAATAAAATCTAAAATATTATTATTATTTTGTAGGAATCGCAGTATTTCGACTAAAGATCAGTGAAGCAATATGAATCACAGTGTTTCGACTAAAGATCAGTGAAGCAATATGGATGTTGGGCGTGTAACCCCTAACTTTTATCAGCATTTCACGACTTCAAATATTAGGTGACTTCCCTTTAGCTTGTGTGTCTGCTGGTGAACATTAAGAATTCTTTTTTTTTAATTTATTTTTTATAGAAAAGGTCATTCTAATAATATAATTACACCGTTGACATTTAGTAATTATGTCAATGGTGTTAACCTGGTTTTACATCTCTCAAATGTTTCAATTCTTTATAGAACAATGTATGATATATATATCAAATAAAATGTCAACACAAATATATTGACACCTAATATATGCAATATACGCAATACTTCAATGTTTCACGTCAGTCTCTGCCTTAACAGTACTGATCCTGCACTATTTTCATTGCTTTTTAGTCACATGCTATGAGACAATGTGCATTAAGCCCGAGAGTCCCTCCGCCAAATCGTTAGGTGGATAATGACGTCGTTATTCATCTTTATTGTAATATCGCAATAGCAATACTCTACCTAGTTACATATACGGTTGCTTCCGATTGGTTTGCAACTTAGTCGATGGATATTGATGACAGGCAGAGGTTGTGTTTTTCCTGGGATTGTGTCCCGATATTCGTCATAGTGTTGGGCTATAGGGGAACAATATGTTAATGTCAATCTATGTTACCTGTAATCATGCTCGATATGATGAGAGGAAGAATGACCAGCTTCAGCATACGCATGAGGATTTCCCCCGGGAAACCGAAGTACTGTTTGTGGAGATTGGAGAGCGTAGCATATTCCCTGACTGCGACGCCAAGAGTGATGCCTGAGGGGAAAAAAAGAGCCATGTCAGAACACGAGGTGATGTCATTATTACTGTTGTCATACTTAATAATCCTATTCGTTTTTCTGGCTCCTGAAATGAAGCTAATACCATGAATATTTGTATACACTATATGTTGCATAGGTGTGTGTGTTTAATAACAGTGACTTTATTAGACATACCAAATGAAGGAATGTCTAACTGAGTGTTTTTCAACGTTGGGGTCGTGACCCCATATGGTGTCATCTAGAAGTCAAATGGGGGTCGCTTAAAATGTCTAGTAATTGATCAATCAAAATTACTGATAGAAATGTTTTTTTGTTTTGTTTTTTTGTTTTTTACTAATTATTACACACACTGTTCAGTAATCTGGAAAACACGAATAAAAACATGCATAAAAATAATTTGCAAATGCATAATTTGGATGCAGGTAAATACTTTTTTTGAATGAATTCTAAGACCCGGGTTCAAGACCAGATGCAAACCACCTGCAGCTACTGAAGTTAGCTACGCTTTTTTAATCACATTTCTAATACAATGACATAGCTATGCTAATTTCGCACATTGTCAATTTTAGGCTGCTGTTTCTATTTGTTACATCCAAACTGAGGGAGTTATGAGGAGATACATTGATCCCTGATGATGATGATGATGATGATGATGATGATGATGATGATGCAGTTATAAACATTCACACTGTAATCGACTGTTACAAAATGTTTCACGTTTGTCATTGGTATCGTAAAATAACATAATTTTCTTACTACGCTTTAACTGTTGCTTCTCATTAGTGGTGCATTTGAAACAAATGACAATTTCTCAGCAATGAAATGTCATTATTAACTAAATAATAGTCAATGAAGCTCCTGGTCATTTCGTTTGATAACAATTCAATCTCTTTATGCTGTTATCCACAAATATAAATTCTATTTCAAGTCCTTATTTAAAGGTCATGTTTATCGTTAGCATCCTCAGACTATATCTAGTCCGTGCACTCGGTGCTGGGACTCCCTCATGCAGACTGAGGTGGCAGCATCAGCTGTCACCTCAGTCTGGTCACGTTTTAATGAGACAGGTCCAGACACAGAGGATGGACGCTCCCCTCTGCCTGTTGAGGACATAGGCTAGGTCTCCTGCAACACTCGTTTCTGTCCCACCGACCCCTCCTGCATTCTGTGATGAATTATGATAATGACCCACGCGCACACACCGAACATTTCACTGAGTGTTTGCCCAGGCGGTACAGAGCCTATGCAAAGAGAGGTTGATTTATTTCCACCAGGACAGCAGCAAAGAGCAGAGCTGGTACAATAGAGATGGAGGGACAGATGTGAAAACAGGAATGAAGAGAAGTGGGAGAGAGCGGGGGGGGGGAATGGTGAATGATGAAGGTGAGTCAGTCCTTTTCTCCTTCACACACAAGCAGACATGAAGGGAGCTTCAACATACCGAGCACCACTGACAAAACTGTGGCAATCAGGAGCCAGTTCTTTTTCAGCAAGCCTTTGAAAGTCACGCCTCGCCGCTCTCTGTTGCCCATCACGTCCATGCTCCTCCACAACTAGAGGAGATCGAGGCGTCCGCTGTGGAGACACAAAAGAAGGTTCCCTGCAGCTGGGATGTCAGGTGCCGCCGAGACAGGAGGATGTAACCGTCAGATGGTGCTGAAAGCCAGTGTTGGTGTGAGCGGAGGAGAGAGTGAGTGGAAGGCAAGAAGAGGGAATGAGGGAGGAGGGAGGGAGGGAGGGAGGGAGGGAGATCGAGGAGGGAAAGGAGGGAGGGACATGGTCCCTTTTCTCCACTTAACCACCCTTCCCCCACACTCACCGTAAAAACCAAATGGGTTTGCTTTACTGAAAATAAACACGCCAACTCGTAACATAAATGCCAGCAAGTACAAAGGAAATGGCAAATGATGAGCGTACAGTACTAGGAGTGACTCATTCATTATAAGGGTACATTAAGGGGTGGGTGGGTACCAGCAGACAACTTGTTTGATTTGGCACTCTTATGTTCTATCTATCTATCTATCTATCTATCTAGCCATCTATCTATCTAGACATCTATCTATCTAGACATCTATCTATCTATCTATCTATCTATCTAGACATCTATCTAGACATCTATCTATCTATCTATCTATCTATACATCTATCTATCTATCTATCTATCTATCTGGACATCTATCTATCTATCTATCTATCTAGACATCTATCTAGACATCTATCTAGACATCTATCTAGACATCTATCTAGACATCTATCTAGACATCTATCTAGACATCTATCTATCTATCTATCTATCTAGACATCTATCTAGACATCTATCTAGACATCTATCTAGACATCTATCTAGACATCTATCTAGACATCTATCTAGACATCTATCTATCTAGACATCTATCTATCTATCTATCTATCGAGACATCTATCTAGACATCTATCTAGACATCTATCTATCTAGACATCTATCTATCTAGACATCTATCTATCTATCTATCTATCTAGACATCTATCTATCTAGACATCTATCTATCTATCTATCTATCGAGACATCTATCTAGACATCTATCTAGACATCTATCTAGACATCTATCTAGACATCTATCTATCTATCTATCTATCTAGCCATCTATCTATCTAGACATCTATCTATCTAGACATCTATCTATCTATCTATCTATCGAGACATCTATCTAGACATCTATCTAGACATCTATCTAGACATCTATCTATCTAGACATCTATCTATCTATCTATCTATCTAGCCATCTATCTATCTAGACATCTATCTATCTATCTATCTATCTATACATCTATCTATCTATCTATCTATCTATCTATGTAGATAGATGTCTAGATAGATAGATAGATAGATAGATGTCCAGATAGATAGATAGATAGATAGATAGATAGATAGATGTATAGATAGATAGATAGATAGATAGATGGATGGATGGATAGATAGATAGATTTTAGATTGATATTGTATTATCATTATCATATAAAGCCTACAAATAGCATATGGTAGGTTATTTGAGCAGTGCTGTAACCCTTACCCTGACTTTTCTTGTAACTATGGTGTCGCCATTAAACACTATTTATTATATGCACCTTTTATACCACTATCTTCCCCGCGTCTCAGGATTTTAGCGGAAGACTGTAGGGAGACTTATGGGACTCAGGTGAACAGTTTAAAGGTAACATGGAAGTGGTTCGTGCTCTTTTTCCCCTCGCTGTTTTGGTGTGCAGCAGGCACCAAACATTTGTCTTAATGTATTTATTTCCTCAGAGGCCACAGGTTTCAAGGACTGTTGGTTGCTGCGTTGTTATTTGAAGTTGAGTATTGTGATAGTAAATAAACTATGATTATTAAACTGTGTAAATCATTGTATGTGTTCCTTTTTTAGTACTGTGAAGTACAAATACAAGCAGGACATAAGTGAATATAACCTGTGACACAGAACTACTCGCAGTTCTCTAAACGAAATCTATCATTCCATTATATACAATACAGGTACTACTGTACTGCTTGACTTAAAATCACGCCTCTGCTGCCATCTACTGTGTTTTTGTGAACTTGCACATTACTACTGTCCCCTTTGAGTAGAAGGCAAGTGTTAATATTGACATTTTTTTGAGAGATGCTGAGAGAAACTGAGTGAATTGCAGCTAATATTGAATACATTTTTAAACGATAATCATTTTATGTGCGGCGTTCTGGGGTAAATGTTTCTGCATGTGGGGTAAACAAACCCAAAAGTGCTTACTAATTGACACCAGTACGTATAGATATGGTTGTTTACTCTGCTAAATGATTACTTTGTTTGCGACTGTGTTCAATAATCTAATAATCTAGTATTTACTAGGCTACTGTCATGTTATATGTTCCTTACGTATAGTCTGCAACCTTTTGCGATTTGCGATGTAGTTTTATTTTGAAGGCTGTTTCCCGGAAACTCAACTCTCCACGTCGAATGCAAACTTGACTGTGTCCAGGGACTGTGAGCCAGCCTAACAACGGGAGCGGCTGCCAGTGGCTTTTTCTTACTCTCGGCGTGGATATGAGAGGAAGTCAGATGTGGTAACCAGGTAGTGAGCCGGTGAAGAGGCCGCTGTAGTAGCCGTACACCACAACCACCACCAGCAGCAGCAGCATCACACCCGAACACCGCACTGCTCTACCGGCCCGGTCGCTGCTGTCGCTTCGTTGCCTTTTTACTTAAACCTCCAAACACACAGTGCTTAAGCTTTTCCGGCGACGTGTGCGAGTAGGAAGCAGGGCCTCCGGCTACTAGGACTGGGTTCACAGCTGCCGAGAAGAGCTGAACACGCCGGTTTCATTTTCCGGAACCACATCCTGCTGAGATGGGTGAGTAAACGACAAGCTAACAGCTTAGTCAGCTAACAACACGCTTTTGGGGANAACATGGGCGCCAAAAAATTTTTGACAGCTTGAGGTTTGTGTTGCGCTATAGTGTAAACAACAGTGTGTGTGTGTGTGTCTACTGTCTGTAGCCCAATCATTAACGTGTACGCCCGTGCCTCAGCTGCTGGGGTGGGGTGTCTTCCCTGTATCCATCCACCCTCAAGTCACCACAACCACCACCACTACCATCATCACCAACCACTAGTACCGCTGCTATTAACCAGCTGCAGTGCAGCCTTTGCGGGAAAAGGTGGGGTAACACACGCTTGTTCAGTGGCTGAGACCAGAAATGGCTAGAGAGTCTGGGGCAGCTGCCTCATGAAGCTTCCTCCTGTAATAGCAGTGTGCCGCCTTCTATACGTATGTGCGGTTGGATGATGGCACTCCTCCATCTCCACAGCTGTTATGCAACAGGATCCAGCAGCAGCAGCAGCAGCAACAGCAGCAGCAGCAGCAGCAACCACCTACTAAGAATTGCTGTTTATACTGTACTGCTCAGTTGACTTTCACTACTCAGGTTGCTGTGCTGCAGCATCTTTAGATTGTATTAAACCCTATTGAGGGTGCTTTTTAAAAGAGGATTTTAGTAATCCAGGATTACCATTGAAGCCCTGTCCTCGAGCTAGTCAGCCCAGACGTCTCGGCTTCATACATTTAGTGCAGGACCAAGCCAGGATACAGAGGTCTGTTATGTAACATTTAGATGCTCTTAAAGGCAAAAGATAATATATATGCCATAATAAATACATGTTTTTAAAATGCGATATTGTTTGGTGCCGGACAGGCCTGATGGTCAATGACGCCTGATATTTGATTTGTGTTGTTTTTCCACTGCATGAGCTAGTGCTCGTGTACCACGGGGTGGTATATTGGTTAGAGCTTTGACATTACAGCGAAAAAAAATCACTGGTTTGATTCCCCCCGTCTTTCTGAATGGAAAGGTATGTTCTAAAGCTACTCTGGATTTCTTCCTCAGTCAAAAACTAGCTTTTAGGTCATACGGACACTTGGCAAAAAAATGGTATATGTCAGCGTGAATGCCGGTGTTCCTTTATGTATACGTGGTCTTGCACCTACAAGCTGACTGCTCAGGGTGTATCCCGCCCTCGTGATGACTGCTGGAATTGGCTCCATCCCTCTCCCGCTATGCTGAATAGGACTAAACAGTAGAAGATTACTAGCATTAGCACTATAGATAACACCAGTATCTATGTCGGTGGACCACGAACAAAATGGAAGTACCGTGGTTGTGTTTTTTTTACCCAGTATTTGCTGCTGAAGTCGTTGACTTTCGTACTTATTGAAGCCGTCAGGTTAAAGCTTACAGTGCTGATTTTCTTTAGTGGTTTAAAAACAAAACAAAACCCCATCTTTGACTGTCTCACCCGCAACTAACACCGATGCAAAATTTTCCCTTCTCTTCTCTCTCACTTTTCTTACACACACACTTCATCTCCCCCGTTGGTATTCCAACCAAAGGGAGATACTTGTAGAAGTTTTTTGGTTTGACACTGGTTTCTGGCATTCCAGCCCGGAAGTTTCACTTGTTCTATAAATTGCTAGCATCTTGCCCTGCATTCGCAGTGTGAAGCAAGTAAAGAGCGGGGAAAAAAGTGGAGCAGGGTTAAGTTTAAGACTGACGTAGAGACGAGAAGCCAAGTACAATTTGACAATATACAACAAAATACTCTTATCCTATACTACCTTAAAAAATGTCTCCTAGGGATAGGCGATATTTTAAGAAGTTATGGTGCATGTTAGCGGATTTCCAGAAGAACAAAACTCAACTAAAAAGAAGCAACAGAAAATAAGGCTACATTACGATCTGTTTATTATTGATAAGTTAATTGGAATGTCGAGATAAAACGTTGAACAAATTACATTAAGGTTGCGTAAAAAATTTAGCAAAATGACGCTGCGATAAAGCAATGCAGCCAAATACAGGACAGATCATTTGTTTCGTCGATGACATATGTCCTGGTCCCTTTGTACTCTTTACATGCCTTACAGAAGCTGTTGACCTGTCTTGTGAAATGGTCTTTGTAAATTAAGCATGTTTTAGTAATATTAGCAACAATTTATTTTTTTGTCATTTGGTTCCTGGATTTGTGCTGAAATTCCAGTTGGAGCGTTTTTGTGTCATTTCATGTTAAGACATGACGAGTTGAAGTGATGGAAGGATGTTTGGCTCTGCAGTGCACCAGCCGCTGGCAGAAATAACCAGGTCACTTCTCCAGCCCAAGTGCAGGTCTTATGCAATCACATCATCACCTGTAGGTTCTTTGGCTCAGTGCTGGAGAAGCAATTTAGGAAATGTCCTCAGTGTTACTGTAAATGATTCTCTGCTCTTTTCTTTATTGCCGATCGATAAAATGTAGGAGGAAGTAGTGTGTCAGCCTTTGGCGTAATTAGAGAATGTTTTGGACCCAACCTGAGTGCCAGTCGGAATCAGGATTTGCTGAGAATGTAGACTGACCTTAAGGCGGAGCTGTGAGACAAAATGCAACCAAGGCAGAGCTGGGGTAGAGGTGAAATTAGAGCCTAAATACAAATCCACTTTTGAAGTTAATGATTAATTTGTTGAATGGTGATATATATATATATATATATATATATATATATATATAAACAAACAAACAAACAAACAAACAAACAAACAAACAAACCTAACCTAAATTCAAAGTTGTAGGTTTGAAGACACTGGCGATGAATTGACATTTACTGAGGCTAGGGATGTCACGATTATATATTTTCTTGGTACGATTATCGTCAGAGAATTTATCACTCACAATTTCTATGCGTGAATTGGTTTCACAACACTATGAATGTGTAAAATCACATGCTCCTTGAAAGACTTAAAGTTTCCTTTATTGTTCTATCTTTTGACTGTCAAAATATATTTACATTACTAACGATATGACACAATATTTTTATATGTATATTTAAGTATGTATTTATATAGGAACAATCACTAATCCCCCCAAGGGAATTGTTGACATTGTTTTAGTCATAAATTGTGTATAACAGAAAACAATCAACCTCAAACTATGTTTACATACATACATACAACTTACATATAATGTAACATTAGGTGAAGGCTGTGCAACTTGTCACGTTGCAACGAAAGCCGAACCTGTTTCATACTCGTACACAATTAATTGCAAATGAAACGCTTATAAGGCTGAAACCTTTATTTAGGTACCTTGAGTAATTAAATTACAACTTTTTT